GGGTGGAGGGGTGGGGGAGGACCAGATAGTGGAAAGGAGGGAATAGGGAGGAGGAGAGGGGGAGGAGGGAGGGAGGGAAGGAAGGAGGAGTGAGGGATTGGTCACAGGGTAGAGGGTAGGAAGAGGCACGGAAGAGAACAGCTGGGTGCGGGGATCGGGTGGGGTGGGCAGGTGGTGGAATGGGGTGTTTGGTTGGTTGGAAGAAGGGAGGAGTGGAGGGGGTTAATGCAGTAATATCAACATATTTTTCAAAAATAAGTGTGATAAAAGTGTGAAGGAAGAAGTGGGTGAAGAGTTTGAGGACATAAGAGAGAGAAGAGAGAGAGAGAGAGAGAGAGAGAGAGAGAGAGAGAGAGAGAGAGAGAGAAGAGAGAGAGAGAGAGAGAGAGAGAGAGAGAGAGAGAGAGAGAGAGAGAGAGAGAGAATCATATAGACAGAAAGAAATGGATAGAATACGGATAATTGCAGAAAACTGAACAGACAGACATCGAATGGAGTAAAGAAGAAGAAAAGGAATAAAAAAAAAAACAAGAACAAGAATGAAAATAGAAATGAGTAGGAAGGAGAAGGAGCAGATAGATGAATAAGAAAAAATAAGAAGAAGAACAAAAATAAGAATAAGAGCAGGAGGCAGGAGAGAGAAAAAGAATAAAAAAATGAATAGTAAGAATAAAAATAAGAATAAGAAAAGGAATATATAAGAAGGAGAATAAGAATAATAACAAAAAATAACATAAATAATAACAAGTATGAAAATAAGAACAAGAAAAGAGATAATAAATAGTATGAGAATAAAAAAAATAAACTAGAAAGGGAATAATAAGAGTGAGAATAAGATAGAATAAGAATGAAGAATAAGGATAAGAATGAAGAATAAGAGTAAATAACAATAAGGATAATGAACGAAAGAGAGGGAGGGAGGGAGGGAGGAGAGAGAGAGAGAAGAGAGAGAGAGAGAGAGAGAGAGAGAGAGAGAGAGAGAGAGAGAAGAGAGAGAGAGGAGAGAGAGAGAGAGACAGACTGACAGACAGACAGACAGACAGAAGAAGAGAGAGAGAGAAAGAAAGAGAAAGAGAAAGAGAGACAGCGAAAGAGACAGAGAACCAAACAGACAGAAAGAGACACACACAAAAAAGACAGAAAATCACCATGGTTGACGCAGACGATGGTGTGCACGTCGTGACTGTCGTGAGCGTCTTGAGCGGGCCCGCGTACAGGATCTCAGCGCCGCTCTTCCTCCGCCTGTTCCTCTTCGCCACCATCACGCCCACGCCCACGCACGTCGACACCGCCGCGATCACGCCCATCAGGAGCACCACGAAGGGGGTGATGGAGAGGAGCGTGTTGTGGGCGTGGGAAGAGACGACCTTGTGGGCGGAAGCAGAAGAGGCGGTGTAGGAGATGGTGACCGGTGGCTGGTTCCTCGGCTGTTGGCGGCCGTGACCGTCATCAGGTACGGGACGTCGACCTTCAGGCTGAGGGCGAGGGGAGAGGAGGGAAAAGAGGGGAGAGGGGGAGGGAAGGGGAGAGATGAGGGGAGAGGAGGGGAGAAGGGAGAGGGGAAGGGGAGATGAGGGGAGAGAGGGGAAGGGGAGATGAGGGGAGATGAGAGGAAAGGGGAAGGGGAAGGGGAGATGAGAGGAGAGGGGAAGGGGAAGGGGAGATGAGGGGAGAGGGGAAGGGGAGATGAGAGGGGTGGGAAGAGGGGAAAGAGAGATGGGGGAGAGGAGAGGGATAGGGAAGAGGAGAGGGATAGGGGAGAAGAGGGAGAAGAGAAAGGAGAGGGAACGGGGAGAGGGGAAGGATAGGGGTAGAAAGAGGGGAAGGAAGAAGGGAGGGAGAGGGGAAGGGGAGCGGGGAGAGAAGAGGGGTAGGGGAGAGGAGAGGGGAAGGGAGAGTGGAGGGATGAGGGGTAGGAAAAGGGGATTGGTAGGAAGAGGGGAAGGAAGAGGGAAGGAGAGGGAAGGGGGAAGAAAAATGGAAGGGAGAGGGGGGAAGAGGGAAGGGAGAGGGGATGGAAGGAGAGACGGGAAGGGCGATTGGAGGGGAGGAAAGAGGGGGAGAGGGGAAGGGATAGGAGTGAGAAGGAAGGGAGAGGGGAGGAATGAGAGAAAGAGAAGAGGGAAGAGGGAAGAGAATATAGGAGAGGGGAGGAAGGAGGGAAGAAAAAAACAATCCATATTAATGTGATACACAAAACACTCGCTTTCAACAAACGTTCTTTCCTTTAAAACGTAAACACACGAACAAACGTTAATACGAAGAATACTTTCTTAAAAGAAGTAAACTTGAACTAAAAATTACTTTTACAAAATCTATAAAATAAAATATACTTAAAATATTTCTTAGAAGTTACTTATACTTAAAAGAAGTAAACCTATGAATGTGAAAGGTGAACGTTGTCTGTTTAGCGCGGATGTTCATGTCGCAAGGAACAAAGTATGGCAAAGTGGATACGAATGTGGATACTTTATGTTTATACGGAATACTTGAGTTTGTGCGGATATGAAAGTTAAAGGGGAAAAAAAAACTTTGGTGAGGATCTTAAAGGGGAAACGTTTGCTGACCTTATCTTTGTAGGGAAAGAACGTTGGTCAATGCGATGTTTTAATCTTAAGAGGAGAACGTTTGTTAATGTTGACGTTTATTATCAAAGGGAAAATTCATTCGTTGGTATAAACAAGAATGCTAAAGGAAAAAAATATAAAACACCAAAGATTGATAATACAAACAAGCAAATGAACAAGGAGACAACAAAGAAAAAAGAAACAAGGCGAAAACAAAGGAAAATAAACAAACAAAAAATAAAGAAAAACAAACACAAAACTAGGAAAAAACAAAGAAAACACAAAACTAGGAAAAATAAAGGAAAACAAACAAAGAAAAAAGCCAAGAAAACAAACAAACACACAAGGAGAAAATAAAGAAAAAGAAAAAGAAATAAAGACTAACAAAACAAAGAAAAAGCAAAGAAAACAAACAAAAAACAAGGAATAACAAAGAAAAACTACAAAAAAGGCTAAAAATAAAAACAAACAGACATACAAGGAAAATACAAAGAAAACAATGAAAAATAAAAACAAACAAACAATGAAAAACAAAGGCAAACAAATAGGCAAAAAAAAAAAATCTAATAAACAAGGAAGACCCTCCCCCTATCCTCCCCACCCTCCCACCTACCCCGTGATGATGAAGAAGGGCTCGGGGGCGTGACTGAACTCCTCCAGCAGCTCCTCCTGGCCGCCTGCCGCACCTCCAGGTTTGAAGGTCTGCTCGAGGCCGCGTCCCCCCGGCAGGCACGAAGAGCACCACGTAGGTCGCAGGCATCGAGGAGTTCCTGTCGGCCTCGCAGGAGGATACCGCTTCGGGCTTGGCTGTTTGGGGGGGGAAGGGGAGAAGGGGGGATGGGGAGAAGGGGTGAGGGGTGAGGGAGGTAGGATAGGTGGGGGGGAGGGTGGGGGAGAATGGGGTGAGGAGGAGGGAGGGAGGGAGGAGGGGAGGGTAGGATGGAGAGGGAGGATGGAGAGGGGAAAGGGGCGGGAAAGGGGGAAAGGAAGGTTGATCAATGGTGTTTGAGTGTTTGGGGCTTTTGGCTATCTATCTATCTATCTATATCTATATATATATAAATGGTACTCAATGGTAGGGAGGGATTGGCTATCATTCTATATCTTTTTAACGGCGAGCGCGCTTTAATTATCATAATTATCATATAATCATATATCTAATCACATCTATTTATCATATGAAATTATTTCTAATTATGTCGGTTATTATAATGTCATATCTATCATACCATCACATCATTTCCCTTTTTCAACTTTGGTTACCATTTAAAAAAAATCCTAAACAGTGGGCATAGAATGATGAGGCAACGTAATGTTACGGTATACCCGTCCTTCCAATAAGGAGGCAACACTACGCCATCTACAGTTTAAAGAGGAAACTATTTTACATTCTTTCCGAGTCGTCGAGGTTGAATAAAGAATATATAATTCTGTCGTGGTACTGGATGTTGGAGGGAGTGTGGTCTGCAAAGAATGAGACTGTGATTGTGGTTTGCAAAGAATGAGATGGTGAGTATAGTTTGCAAAGAATAAGACTGAGTGTGGTCTACAAAGAATGAGACTGTGTGTGGTTTGCAAAGAATGAGAGTGAGTGTGGTCTACAAAGAATGAGACTGTGAGTGTGGCCTACAAAGAATGAGATTGGGAGTGTAGTTTGCAAAGAATGAGAGTGAGTGTGGTTTACAAAGAATGAGATTGGGAGTGTGGTTTGCAAAGAATGAGACTGTGAGTGTGGTTTGCAAAGAATGAGATGGTGAGTGTGGTTTTGCAAAGAATGAGACTGTGAGTGTGGTCTGCAAAGAATGAGACTGTGAGTGTGGTTTGCAAAGAATGGGGCTGTGAGTGTGGTTTGCAAAGAATGAGACTGTGAGTGTGGTCTGCAAAGAATGAGACTGTGAGTGTGGTTTGCAAAGAATGGGGCTGTGAGTGTGGTTTGCAAAGAATGAGACTGTGAGTGTGGCCTACAAAGAATGAGATTGGGAGTGTAGTTTGCAAAGAATGAGAGTGAATGTGGTCTACAAAGAAATGAGACTGTGAGTGTGGTGTGCAAAAGGAAGGATTGAAACCATAAGCTAGGTGTGCAAAGAATGGATGGCGTTAACGATGGGACACCTTGTTTGTTTTTTTCTTTGACTGATTGTTTAGGGAAAGCTCTAGGCAGGGGTGGGGGTAGGGGTGGGGGGGAGGTTGGCTGACTCAACCAGGACTCTCCTAGATTCATTAAGATTCACCTCCAATCACCTGACATAGGTTCTTGACAATCACTTACTTCTGACATCCAAATCATGACAGGGACTTGCCTCTGACCCACGTGCGGTCACAAAAAAATAAATAAAAAATAAAAAACGTCTTTGGTCATTAGAACATGTCTTGTCTGTCTGTCTCTGTCTGTCTGTGTGGATGTATGTTTGTCCAATCGGATTAAATTATTGTTTTGTCTCTTTTTTTATTTCGTACTCTCGCTTCCCCCTCTCCTTTCTTTCTCCTTTCGTGTTTTAATCATTCTTATATGCTTCTCATCTTCCATCAGTCTACAACACACACATGCCACACAAACGCAAACCACACACACACACCTCCTCCCCTTTCACCACCCCTCCACACATACATCTACCCGCAACCCCACCTTTACCCCACTTCCCCCTAACCCCCACCTCCACCCCACTTCCCCTCGCCCACCCTCCCTCCCCCACTTCCCCCAACTCCCACCTCCACCCCACTTCCCCCCCCCACCCTCCCTCCCCACTTCCCCCTCCAACCCTTCCTACCCACTTCCCCCTCCCTTCCACCCTCCCTCCCCACTTCCCCCAACCCCACCTCCACCCACTTCCCCTCCCACCCACCCTCCCTCCCCACCTCCACTCCACTTCCCCTCCACCCTCCCTCCCCACTTCCCCTCCAACCCTTCCTCCCCACTTCCCCCTCCCTTCCACCCTCCTCCCCACTTCCCCCAACCCCCACCTCCACCCCACTTCCCCCTCCCCACCCTCCCTCCCCGCTTCCCCCCAACCCCACTCCACCCCCACTTCCCCTCCCACCCACCCTCCCTCCCCACTTCCCCCAACCCCACCTCCACCCCACTTCCCACTTCCCCCCAACCTCCACCTCTACCCCACTTCCCCCTCCCACCCTCCCTCCCCACTTCCCCCCAACCTCCACCTCCACCCCACTTCCCCCTCCCCACCTCCACCCCACTCCCCCCACCCACCCACCCTCCCCTCCCCTCCCCCCACCCTCCCTCCCACTTCCCCCAACCCCCTACCTCCCCCCACTTCCCCCTCCCACCCTCCTCCCCACTTCCCCAACCCCACTTCCCCTCCCTCACCCACTTCCCCTTCCACCCTCCCTCCCCACTCCCCCACAACCCCCACCTCCCCCCAACAACCCCGGCCAAACCCCCTCCCACCTCCCTCCCCACTTCCCTCCCACCCCACCACCCTCCCCACTTCCCCCAACAACCCATCCCTCCCCACTTCCCCCTCCCACCCACCCTCCCTCCCCACTTCCCCCTCCCACCCACCCTCCCTCCCCCACTTCCCCCTCCCATCCACCCTCCCTCCCCACTTCCCCTTCCACCTCCCTCCCCACTCCCACTCCAACCCACCCTCCCACCCTCCTCCCCACTTCCCCCTCCAACCTTTCCACCGCACTGCCCTCCTACCCACCCTCCCTCCCCACTTCCCCCCCAACCCCCTACCTCCCCCCAACAACCCCGCCCAAACCCCCAACTCACCCGCAGGCACGACGCTGAACACGCACGGCTTCCTCTGCCTCCCGACGTCGTTCACCGCCCAGCACAGGAGTTCCCCGAAGTCGTGGTGCGTCTGCGGGGTGTACCTGACGATGCTGCTCCTGCCGCTGCTGCTGGAGAGGTTGAGGGCCACGTCGACGACCCCCGTGGAGGTGTTCACCGCCCATCTGTTTTTGGGGAATGGGAGGAGAAAGAGGAGGAGGGGTGAGTGTGTGTGTTTTTTTTTTTTTTTTTTTTTTCTTTTATGTATGTTTTCTTAGCGGTGTGTTTTGTGTCTCGTTCTGTATCTCCAACCTGTACCTGTATCTCCAACACCCCCACCTGCATCTCCAATATCCAACCTGTACCTGTATCTCCAACAACCCATCTGGCATCTCAACATCTCACTTTTTACCTGCATCTAACACAACATCTCCTTATTACCTGTAATCCAACATCCAACCTGCACCTCTATCTCCAAACTCCACCTGTATCTCCAACAACCCACCTGCATCTCCAACATCCAACCTGTACCTGTATCTCCAACAACCCACCTGCATCTCCAACAACCCCACCTTTTCCTGTATCTCCAACATCCAACCTGTATCTGTATATCCACCGTCTCGTTTCTAAGTTAATTCATTTACAGAGATTAGACAAAATATTCATCAAGTTTCCTCACTTTTCTCCGAGAGAGTGAAAAGACATGAGCCGCCATCTTGAAATGATATTACACAAGGACAAAAGTTTTCATTTTCCGAGAGTTCCTTGTTTCCATCTTTTGGCGAAGAGGAGAGGAAAGAAAATGAAGAATTAGAAGGGAGAAGAAAGAAAATAATCAAGGGAATGAGGATAATGTGGGGAATAAAGATTAGTTGGGAGTGAGAAGAGTACATATCTTGAAGAAAGGAGTGGGATGCAGATCAGAGTAAAAGTAAAATAAGGAGGATGAGAAGATAAAAGAAGTAGAAGAGAAAGCAGAAAAAGAAGATGAAGAGAGGATGACGAAGAAGATAAGAAGAAAGAGAATAATGAAAGAGAAAATAGAAAAAGAAAGAAGAAGAAGAGAGAGAAGAAAAAGATGATGAGTAAGAAATAGAAGAAGGAGAAGAAAGAAGAAGAAGGAGAAAAAGGGAGAGGAGGGGAAAAGAAGAACAAGAAAGAAAATAAAATAAAAATGTTAGAAGTAAATTTTTATAATTTTAGAAAGAGTAGAAGTACAACGACGATAATGAGAAGAACAACAAGAATATTATTATTAATAATGATACTACTACTGCTACTAATGATAACGAAAATAACAATAATAATAACAATAATAATAATAAGAATAATAATAATGATAATAATAATAAGAATGACAATAATAATAACAAAATGATAAATATAATCATAACATAAGGCATGATTATCACAACAACAACAATAACAACAAATACTTCTAAAATTACTATCACTGCGCTACTACTAGTACTGCTACAATAACAATAACTACTACTACTATTACTAATACTATTTTTACTACAATAATTACTACTACTACTACTGTACACTACAATACTACTACAACCACTACAACAACTACTATATAACACTACAACTACTATTATAACCGGTAGACCACTACAACTACTACTATATTCACTACAACTACTACTACAACCCCTACAACTACTACTTTATCACCACAACTACTACTACAACCACTACAATCCCAACACCTAATTCTTTATCACCACAACTACTACTACAACCACTACAACTACTACTATAACCACTACAACTACTACTTTATCACCACAACTACTACTTCAACACCCTACAACACTACTTTATCACCACAACTAGTACTATCCACTACAACCCCTACAACTACTCAGACAATTGACACCTCTCCTAATCAAGATGAAGCCCAAACGCCCCTTACCTGAACATCGTGGGCGCGGGGTGGGCGTGAACGTGGCACGGCACCTGCAGCTCCTCGTGTCTCGCTGCGCCGTACACCTCGTGCTGACCCTGGGCGCACGTGGGGGGACTGGGGGAGAGGGGGAGAGGGAGAATGATGATAATGATAATAATTATAATAACGATAATGATATATATAATCATTATCATACACAACTACAACAATAAAAAATACTGCTAAAATTACTATCACTGCCACTACTAGTACTTATGGTGATGAATTTCTTTTTATGATGGTTGTGATGTTTTGTTTCATTTCTGTTTTTTTTTTTCTCTTTATTTGTTTGTTTGTTGTTGTTTGTTCTCTCCTTTCTTATTTTATTTGCTCTCTACTCTTTCGTTGTTAGTTTCTCTTCTTTCCCTGTTTTCTCCCCTTTTCTTCTATCCTTCTTCTGTGCCTCCCTACCTTCCCTCCTTTCACTCTATCCTTTTATCACACAGACACACAATACCCATACGCACACACACACACACAACTTTACCCCCACCCCGCCCACACAAAACACATGATACCCACACGCACACACAACCCCCCCCCCCCACACACACACAAAACACTCCCACCCCCCCCACACAATACCTACAACACACACACACACAATACCACCCCACACACAATACCTACACGAACACACAATACCCCCCCCCCCACATAATACCCACACAACACACCCCATCCCACTCACACATAAACCTGTCATAAACATGAATTCTACTTGAACATTTGAACATCTGATCCTTATTTGAACCTTCTATTCGCTGAAGGATACGGAAGGGCGACCAGTTCCCTTCTATCCCGACTTTGACCCTACAATGCTGATGCCGGTACTGTCACAAATGAGCCGATTCTCCAGAGAAAGCAAGCAAGAAAGAATGATAGAGAGAGAGAAAGGAATTAAGGAAGGAAGAAAGATAGAGAGAAAGGAATTAAGGAAGGAAGATAGAGAGAAAGGAATTAAGGAAGGAAGAAAGATAGAGAGAAAGGAATTAAGGAAGGAAGAAAGATTAGAAAGAAAGAGGGAAGAAGATTAGAGAGAAAAGAAAGATAGAGAGAGGAAGATAGAAAAAATAGAAAGAAAAGAGGGAAGGAAACAGAGAGAAAAGAAAGAAAGATCGAGAGAAAATAAAGGAAGAAGGAGGAAAAATTGAAAGAAAGGAAGGAAGACAGAGAGAAAATAAGGAAAGAAAGATAGAGATAAAGAAGGAAGAAAGGAAGAGAGAAAAAGGAAAGAAAGAAGGAAAGTGAGAGAAAGACAAAAAACAAAGAAATAAAGAAAAAAGAAAAAGAGAAAAAAACGAAAAAAAAGACAAGCAGAAAAAACAAATAAATACGAAAAAAAACAAACAAACAATAACCCCACCCACCCCACCCAGCACTCACACTTGACCCCAGCTGCAGGGGCGATGACGTCATAGCCCCTCCGTGTTGGCCGCCGCGCACGTGTAGACTCTGACGACGTCCTGCTGATGTTCCTGAGGACGAGAGAAGTCTGCTGACGTCGATGCCAGGGACGCGTTGCTCTTGAGGGGACGCCCTGGTGGGGGGGGGGGGGAGAGGATATGTATTTATTTATTTATTTATTTATTTTATTTATTAGTATTGTTTTTTTTGTGGGATGGTGGAGGTGGGAGTGGTGGTGATGATAGGGGGGGGGGGGGGGTGTTGGTGGTAGTGGTGATGATTATGACTATGATAATCCTAATGATAATAATAACAATACGATCATTTTTATTATCAATATAGTTATCATTTATTATTATCCTCATCATTATCATTGAAATATTAACAACAATCACAATAATGATGATAATATAAAAACGACAAAAATAACAATAATTACAATGATTATAATGATAATGATAATACTATCATATCATTATATTATCAGTATTATCATCTTTATCATTATCAACTTCATGATATATCTTATTTATAATCAATCATCTCATGAATTCATAATTCTTCTCTACTTTCCCCTCCTCCCCCCTCCGATACATTCCCCTTCTACCTCCATCCTCCTCTCCACCCCATTCTTATCCCTCCTCTCCCTCCTCCCCCCTCTCCCTTCCATATATTTCTCTACTTTCTCTCCTCCTACTCCCTTCCATCCAACCCCCCTCTCCCCAATCCCCTCCACCCCCATCCCTCCTTCCACTCTCCATCCCCTCTCCCCTCCCTCCTTATCCGTACCCATCCCCCTCCTTCCACTCCCATTTCCCTTCCCATCACCAAACCCATCTTCCACTCTCTCCTCCTCTCTCCCATCCCCTTCCACTCCTCCTACACCCCCACTCCCCTATCACCTCCCCCATCCTCTCCCTTCCACCTCCCATCCCAATCCCTCCTACTTCCACTCCCATCCCTCCTTTCCTCCCTCCCTCTCCCTCTCCTTCCCCCTCAACTCACATGTGCGCCACTGCACTCCGTTCACCGGCGGGTTGGTTTAACGATGCACTTGAACACACGTTATCCCTCTTCCATGTTCTTCAGTTCTTCGTTGTTTCCGAGTTCTAGCGTCATCTGGGGCTTGTCTGGAAGGAGAGAGAGAGAGAGAGGTGATGATGAGAGGGTTGGGAGGGAATGCGGGTGGGTTAGAGAGAAAGAGGGAGAGAGAGATAGATAATTAAATATATAGACAGAAAGAGAGAGACAGGTAGATAGATAGACAGATAGATAGATAGATAGAGAGAGAGAGAGAGAGAGAGAGAGAGAGAGAGAGAGAGAGAGAGAGAGAGAGAGAGAGAGGAGAGAGAAGAGAGAGAGAGAGAAGAGAGAAAGAGAAGAGAGAGAAAGAAAGAGAGAGAGAGAAGAAAGATGAGAGTAAAAAAGAGATTAATTATAGATATTTTTGTTTATTAATGTCATATAAAGGATTTTCGTATTCATGTTATCCTGTTGAAACGCCTGTGTTGTGTGAGTAACTTTCTCAGGCGTGAGAAGACAAACGCACAGATGTAAACTTAACATTCATTTATTTCCTTTCTTACCACAAAGAAGCAGGGGGATAATGCACGCTTAATATGACACAAAAGGATGGCACGGTTTCCATATAAACCCATTAATCAGCTGATGCGTCCGAGAACACACTGGCATAGGGTTCACGTCACTTAACATGACTAATATATACGTATAAAGCAAGTCACCGGTAACTGCTGCTGGCTACCGTTGCCTAACCTTATTTCAGCCACAATCTTTCTGCATTCTCCATTATTTCTCCTCGCTGTCCGTAGAAGGAAGGCCAGGACTCGTCTCAATTATTACATATCAATACAAGAAGATTGAACAGTTACGTTAAAACACTTATTTAGCATTGCAATTTACGATATCTGGGTAAAACACGACTTTAAATACCAGAACCAAGCTGACATGTGTACTGGAGGAAGGCCAGGAGTCGTCTGACGAGTATAAACTCATTGCTTTCCCCCAAATGATTTTTAACATTTAAACAAACAATTTATAAATGATTATCATAACTATATATTTGTTATAACTAAATTTTGCTTTATTGATATACCTTTAGATGTATGGAAATATGTAAACAAATGTTTCAGTGACGGATGTACATTTTCAAATTAGAACCAAGCATCTTTGTAAATGTCGAATAAATAAATGGTCTTGACATTAATATAAGGGACTTGATGTTCTGTGTTGAGTAAGATTTATTTATCTATTTATTTATTTTTGTTTTTGTTTTTAATTTTAATTCATTCAGAGTGGATTCTTCCTTTGAATTACTATTTCAATTAATCAATTTGTTGATCTGCTTAATCTATCGATCCATCTATCACACACATCACGGATTAATATTTCCTTCTCATTATGATCGTCTCTTTTCAACAACACATTTACTTCGCATATAGATGAAGGAGATGATAAAGAAGAAGAGGAAGAAGAAGAAGAAGAAGAAGAGGAAGAAGAAGAAGAAGACGAAGATGAAGAAGTAGAAAAAGAAAATACACACACACACGCACTCACACACACACACACACAAACACACACACACACACACACACACACACCACACACACACACACACACACACCACACAACCCACACACACACACAAATATATAATATATATATATATATATATATATATATATATATATATATATATATATATATATATCCTCGCTTGTAGATGTAAAAAGATAATACAAAAGATAAAAAAGAACCTAGAAAAGAAAACACTTATCTCACTTATAGAACATAAAACACAATAAACCAGATAAGATAAGAAACTACAAGAAGAAAAATCCCCCGCCCCCCCCCCTCCAAAAAAAAAAAAACGAAAAAATAAAGCGAAAAGATACTCACACAACACCGAGAGTGTGACAGAGTCCTCTAGCGGCGAGTCGGGCAAGCGAGGGCTAGCGGCTCGACAGGTGAGCGTGGATCCGTCTCAGTCGCCCTCGAGACCAGGTGCAGGGTGGAGCGGCTCACGTCACCCTCGAACTCCTCCTCGACCTTCTGGGGGGAGAGGGAGAGAGGGTGAGGTTGAGGTTATTTTTGGAGAAAGATATTTGGGGAGGGAGGGAGGGGGGATGGATGGATGGATGGATGGATAGATAGATAGATAGATAGATAGATAGATGATAGATAGATAGGTAGGTAGGTAGATAGATAGATAGATAGATAGATAGATAGATAGATAGATAGATAGATAGATAGATAGATAGGTGGATGGATGGACGGAGAACGAAAAGGGGGAGGGAGGAAGAGAGAGAGAGAGAGAGAGAGAGAGAGAGAGAGAGAGAGAGAGAGAGAGAGAGAGAGAGAGAGAGAGAGAGAGAGAGAGAGAGAGAGGGAAGAGAGAGAGAGACAGACAGACAGACAGACAAAAAGAGAAGGAGCATGAGGAAAATGAAAAATATATCAGGAAACATAATGGGAATAAAAATCATTATATTAAAGTAAAGTTTCTTTGTAAACATTCTGACACATTCAACAAGTCAATGGAATTTGCAAAAGAAGCTGTAGCCTCGAAACTCCCGACCAAGAGCACACAAAAGCACAAATATATCGTCATAATCTTATTCTATTTTAAGTAAATCATAAAGAAAAAAAAAAAAAGAAAAAAATCACACACAGCATATCTTATCACAAAGGCTAATCCACTCACAACAAGATGTCTTTGAAACAGCATTCTCAGACGAAAACTTATCAAGAAGCCAAAGAAATGGGATTTTTTTTCCAGCCTGTAATGAGGACATGACTTCCCCATTATCTCCTCAAATGCTCCTTCCTTACATAGACTGCGTGATACATCGGTACTCTGTGCATGCCCTGATTTGCATAATAATCTGTGGCTTTGAATCATCATCTATTCAGGTTGTGTTTTCCTCCGATATTGCGAAAAGGGAGTTATGTTGTCATGTGGTGTGATTCATCTCCTTATATATCCGGTTGTACATGTCAGAGGCGAGAGAAATGAGGCTGCATCTCTCTCACTTTCATCAAGGGACAATGGGGGGATTATGTAGTATTCTGTAGTAGGAGCCTGATGGGAGAGCGGTTCTCTCTGTCTCTGTTTCTCTTTCCTTCACCCTCTCTCTATCTATTTATTTATCTATCTGACGCTCTATCCCTCCTTCTCTCTCTGTCTCTATCTCTCTTTGTCTGTTAGCATGTCTCTCTCTCTCTCTCTCTCTCTCTCTCTCTCTTCTCTCTCTTCTATCTCTCTCTCTCTCCCTCTCTCTCAGCTTCTATATCTGTATGTACGTACATATGAATTTATATATGTACGTATGTATGTACGTACGTTTACATGTAAATATGTATGCATATGCATATATAATTTTAGATAACGCTGAAGCATATTTACACATCACTATATAGCACTCGGCGTTACTTCGAAAACACATCCAACATGGCCTCCTCATGACAGACACCCAGATTCAAGGTCTGTACTTATATAGACCTTGCCCAGAATACCCTGTTTTGAAGGTCTAGACGATCGGTTGTAGGAAAACCTCTCGTTATCGGATTCGCTTAACTGATAAACAGCGCATGCGTTAGACTGCAACATGCCTACAATACAGATAAGGAACTGGCGCTGTCGTTAGATGGCTTATGATATCGCCCGGGGCCTCATAATTGTCTCGGTATCAGTGTCTGTTCTTTTTCGGGTCCGGTGTGGGGGGGGGGCGTCGGGTTGAAGAGGGAGACACGGATAAAGATGGATAGACTGTTAGAAAGAAGGAGGGAGGCAGAAAGACAGATGCATAGATAGATAGATGGATAGATAGGTAGATAGATAGATAGATAGACAGATATAGATAGATAGATAGATAGATAGATAGATAGATAGATAGATAGATAGATAGGTAGATAGACAGATAGATAGATAGATAGATAGACAGATAGATAGATAGATAGATAGATAGATAGATAGATAGATAGATAGATAGACAGATAGATAGATAGATAGATAGATAGATAGATAGATAGATAGATAGATAGATAGACAGACAGACAGACAGACAGACAGATAGATAGATAGATAGATAGACAGATAGATAGACAGACAGACAGATAGATAGATAGACAGATAGATAGAGAGACAGACAGAAGAAAAAGAAAAAAGGAATAAAGAAGTGGACAGGGAAAGCAGAGAAGAAGATAAAGAAATGAGATAACGACAGCCAAACATACAGACAGAAAAGACGAAGCCAAAGCCAGTTCCAACAGAATATCCAACAGACGTTTATATCATTAGGCGAACAAACACAGCAGAACAAACATTCCCAAAAAATCGAGAAAAAATGAAAAAACATCGGTAGAATAAGATTTTTTTTTTTTTGTTCTCAATCTCTCGTATTTACTCTTCTGTGTTCAAGCCTTAGCGATGTCGGTTCTTCCCTTTGTTATTTCGCTAACGTTAGGAAAACAAGGAAAGCGGGTAATTAGACTTTCCTTTATAACGTATCGGAGGACCAAGTTTAGGTTATTGGATTCAGTTAAAAGCTTAATTATTTCCGTCTATTGAATTAATCTGAAGAGGCTTTTGATCTCCATCGACGGGGCTCCATTGCAGGGACGTAATGAAGTCAACATTCTTGTAATTGCATCGAGCGCATCACGTACAATCTGTGCTGAAATATTAACGAGGGAATATTGCAAAAAAAAAAAAAAAAAAAAAAAAAAAAAAAAAAAAAAAAAAAAAAGTAATTTGGTAACATCTGGCAACTCCTCGAAGCAGAGTTGACAAGTGTGTTATTTCGCGCAGAAAAATCATCGTGCGTTGAAAAACCTTCGGAATACTCCTTATGGCGGGGACACACAACGTCGAGAATAGCACGCGACGAAGGGTTTGGGTGGAGACGCGAATCGACCTTGAAAAAAATTAAGAAACAGAGAAAAAAAGGAAGAAAAAAAGAAAGAAGAAAAGGAAGAAGGGACAAAATCGTGTGAAATTTTTATCCGATATGTTTACCTACTCAACCGGAAGCAATTTTCCTTTGAGGATAATACACTCAGGGAATACGACTGCGGAGCCATTGTGGGAACTGCCCTGGAGGAGGCGGCCATGTTTTTTATATATATTTTATTTCATTTCTATTCATTCAAGCTTTTTTTTCACTCAGACGTTTGTATCTACTTCATTTATTTATTTTTATTTTTTTTTTCTAAATCTCTTTCACTCAGACATTTATTAGGTATAAATCTTTTTATATATTTTTTTATATATTTTATTTCGTTTCTATGCATTCTATTTTTCTTTTTCACTCAGACGTTTGTATTTACTTCATTGTCTATTTATTTATTTTTTATTTTCTGTTTATTCTAAATCTCTTTCACTAAGACTACATTAGTATCTTTTTATATTTTTCTTTTCTGTTTTTTTTTTATAAATTTTATTTCGTTTCTATTCATTCTATTTTTCACTCAGACGTTTGTATCTACTCCATTCTCTATTTATTTTTTTCTGTTTATTCTAAATTTCTTTCACTCAGACATTTGTATCTACATTAGTCTCTTTTTATATTTTTCTTTTTTGTATATATTTTATTTCGTTTCTGTTCATTCTAAAGTTTTTTTTTTCACTCAGACGTTTGTATTTACTTCATTGTCTATTTATTTATTTTTTATTTTCTGTTTTTACTAAGTCTCTTTCACTCAGACATTTGTATCTACATTAGTATTCTTTTTATGTTTTTCTTTTGTTTTTTTTTTTGTATATTTTATTTCGTTTCTATTCATTCTATTTTTTCACTCAAACGTTTATATTTACTTTATTGTCTATTTATTTCTTTATTTTCTGTTTATTCTAAATCTCTTTCACTCAGACATTTGTATCTACATTAGTATCTTTTTATATTTTTTATCTGTTTATTCTAAATTTCTTTCATTCAGGCATTCGTATCTACTTTCCTATCTATTTATATTTTTCTTTTCTATTCATTCTAAATAAAGCTACTTTCTTATCTATCTATATTCCTCATTTCAATTTATTCTAAACCTCGTTCATTCAAACATCTGTATCTACTTTATCATCTATCTATATTTCTCCTTCCAATTTATTCTATATTTCGTTCATTTAGACTTTCTTATTATCTTTCTTATTATTATATTATTTCTTATTATCATATTCTTTCTTATTATCTTTCTTCTTATTATATTCTTTCTTATTATCTTTCTTATTATTATATTCTTTCTTATTATCTTTCTTATTATTATATTCTTTCTTATTATCTTTCTTATTATCATATTCTTTCTTATTCTTCTTTTTATCATTATTTTCCATTCCTCTTTCTTCTTCTCCTCTTGAAAATTCCGCCTCATTCTAACAAAAGAACAATTAACAGTAATTACCTCATAAGTACTTCTCATACGTGACAATGAGAATGAAAACGGGATAATTATTGCACACTCATTATCAGCATCCGACATTCAAGAAGAGAAAATAAAAAATGAAAATAAAATCAGAACATGAAGAACAATAGGAATGAAAAAAATGAATAAAAATTTGAATAAAGAAGAAAAAAAAATAAAATCAGAACATGAAGAACAATAAGAATAAAAAATAATGAATAATGAATAAAAAATATGAATAAATAAGAAAAAGAAGAAAATATATAAATAAATGATAAAATATAGTAATGATAAAAGAATGCATACATGGATAACAAAGATAAATAAATAAATAAATAATATATATATATATATATGAAAAGAGAGAAAGAAAGAAAGAAGAAGAAGAAAAAGAAGAAGAAGGAAAAGGGAGAAGGGAGCGTCCGACGTTCAAGAAAAGAAATGAAAAAAATGAAAAATATAATCAGAACATGAAGAACAATAAGAATTTTTAAAAATGGAAAAACATGAATAAATAAGAAAAAAAGAAAATATATAAATAAATGATAAAATATAGTAATGGTAAAGAATGCATACATGGATAACAAAGATAAATAAGTAAAAAAAAAAAAAAAAAAAAAAAAAAAAAAATATATATATATAATATATATATATATATATATATATATATATATATATATATATATATATATATGAAAAAAGAAAGAAAGATAGAAAGAAGAAAGAAGAAGAAGAGGAAGAAGAAGAAAAATAAAAATAAAAATAAAAATAAAAATAAAAAGAAGAAGGAAAAAAGAAAAAAGAAACAAAAGAAAAAAGAAAAAAAGAAGAAGAAAGAAGAAGAAAAAGAAAAAGAAAAAGAAGAAAAAGAAGCAGAGACTAGTAATAAATCAATGTCATTCTTACAGTAAAAAAACAAACACCCCCCCCCAAAAAAAAAAAAAAACGCCCCTTAGGACACCTCTGCCCCTAAGGCGACAAACTGGCGCCGTCTGACCCAAGAAAAAAAGAAAAAAAAGAAAAAGAAAGAAAAAGGAAGGAAAAAAGAAAGAAAATGAAGAAAAAAAGACAAAAGAAAGCGAAAAAGGAAGGAAAAAAGTAAAAAGAAAGAAAATAAAGAAAAAGACAAAGAAAAATAAAGTAAAAAAGAAGAAAAAAGGAAAAAAGAAAGAGGAAAATAGGAAAAAAGGTAAAAAAATAGAAAAAAGAAAAAAAGGGTCAGGGAGGGGGGGAGGGGGATGGCGGGGTGTCAGGAGGAAGGACGTCAGCCGTAAAATATTAAGGTCAGCGCTAAAACTACAGGTCGTCAGCTTTTGGACGAATAAGGAAGGAGAGACGAGGAGGAAGAAAGCAGGGAAGGCGGAAGAAAAAGAAGGAGAAAAAATAATAAAAAAAAAAACAGTAGAAGAGGGAGGAGAAAGAGAGGAAGAAAAAGAAGAAGGAAGGAAAAATAGAAGGAGAAGAAGAAGAACAAGAAGAATTAAAAGAGGAGGAAGAAGAAAGGAAAAGAATAAAAGGTAGAAGAAGAAAGACAAGAAGAAGAAAAAGAAAACGAAGAAGAAATAGTAGCGTTAGTTAGAGAGAACAAAAATGCCAATAAAGAAAGTCGGAAAAGAAGTAATGGAAGAAAAAAAGGGAGAAAAAAGGGAATAGACGGAGAGCGTAAAAAATAATGGAAGAAGGGGAGAGGATAATATGGGCGAGGAATATTAAATTAAAGATAAATAAGAAGGAAAAAAAGAAAGTAAAAAGAGAAAGAAACAAAGAAGAAATAGACAAAAAAGTAAAAAAAAAAAACAACAACATAAAAACAAAGATGAAATAAAACAGGGAAAAATAAAGAAAGGAATAATAGGTAATAAAAAGTAAAAGATGGAGAAAATGAATAGGAAAATGAAAATAGAAAGAGGAAGAAGTGGAAGACGAAGGATATTAATTTCCAAGACAAGATGAAGAGGATAATTAAGAAGAAAAGGAAAATGACAAAATATAATAATAGGTTAGAAAGATACGGAGAAAGAGAGAGAGAGAAAAAAAGACAATAATGATTAGAAAAAACAAAACAAGAAAAAAACTAAAAGCAATATAAAGATGAGGAATAAGAAAGTAAGAAAAAAGACAACAACAATGACAACTAAAACAACAGCAAAATGAAAAAAGAAAAAAAAGAAAAAAAGAAAAGAAAGAAAGAAAAAAAAAATATATATATATTTATTTATATATACATACATATATATATAT